CTAGTCTAGGAGCTTCTTCTCGCACCTCGCACGCGCATTGGTCGCGACGAGGATGACAACGTCAGGCGGCGTTATTCGGTTCTGTTTAGTTCTACTCGTTCCAAGTCCGCCTGACCTGACCCCTCCTCGACTTGTTGCTTTAGGCGAAACCTAGACTCACCTCACCCCACTACCTTGTTTCGAATCGACCTCGTGTGCATGATTACAGCACACCTCGCAGCCAGATTTGCTTACTCACAGGTCGGTAAGAGTAATGACAACGTCAATGTACATGTTTTCATTGACCGCTGCTTGCCATCCGTCGCCGCCGCAGGCAATAACGCAGCTCCTCCGTTTATCTACCCACCCATTCCACATGTCGCTGTTCCAAGAGCCCCTCTGCCCCGTCATCGATGACGGCTGTCCATCTTTTCTGTCGCATCACATGCACGTCTTCCATCTATCCGTCTTCAATGGACTCGCCATGCGTTCGGCTCCACTTGTGATGAGCACGTCATGTGATCAGTCAAACCGCGCATCAACGATTTCAGGAAACTGTAGCCTTTTTTCACAGACCAAACTGACACCCCTCTCAGGCATGCCACTGACACGAGAAAATCATCATTAACTAGAGCAACACGGCTGGTGTAATAGATTGCTTATAAAAATAGCTTGATAGCTTGGTGAAGGTGGCCCGTTGATTTTGTCAACAGGTACGAAACTTCTGGCTCAGCTTCTCGCTGAACATCAAAGCAGTGGCACACAAGCGTAGTTTTCAGCTTTCTCTAAAGTCAGAGTTCCCAACAATTTTTCGTGGCTGTGGGTACTGACAACTCGGAGGCAAAGCATCTCACCAATTAACTGCAAACAATGTTGAATAAGCAATAATTCAGAAAGCTGAGTCGAATCTTCGAAACTCCGTCAAATCCGAAAATGCCATTCAATTCAGGAGAGTAATTCATTCACAATGAATGCTACGCAGTTGTGTGCACGTACAAACTGACGAAATCAGACATGCCGCCACATTTCGACAAGCGTGAGCTCTGCCAAGTTTGACTCAATAGGATCTTTCACTCTCAGAGTTGTACTCCAGTAGAAGGCCAGCAACAACATATAGAAAAGCAAGATGAAGGCAGATTTGCTTTCAGAGAGGGATTATTCTTTCTACGGCGCAATAACTGGCGACTTATGGCAAATTAAGTAAAATTTCCGGTACATGAAAAGGTACAGAAAAGTCTACGATATTCTACTCGTTCCAGCGGCTCAAAGTAATGATTTCCACAAACGCAATAGCACAAAGTTTAAATCAATATTTAGTTAGGATGCAGTGTCTTTGGTCTCCTCTTGTAACACGCTTCTCAAGTTTCCAGTTTAGATGCAGTAGCTATCAAGCAGCAATACTCAGGGTCACCGAGATTCGCAAATCCTCTCCTGTACTGAAGTAACATTACAAGAGAGAACTATAATTTCCTAGGAACCATATATAATGCAATATTGCTGAAATCAAGAACTGGAAACGCACACGCAGGAGTCCGCTATGACTGTGCTCCTTCGCCTCTTCTGCCAATTTTGTTCATTGACAATACCATCAGGACCAACTGAAAATGAGTGTCAGAGTAGTAGGAAGTGCTGATAGGAGTAGTTTTCTGTTCACATACGACCTTATCAAATTATCACAGTCCAAGGCCAATCTCCGAAGGATTCACAGCTTAGTGTGACGTCGCTAGTATGTGAATAAACGTGTACAATACGGAATCGGTTGTGTTTTCTTCATCTGCTGTTCCGTAGGCGTTCCCTATTAGGGCAGTGTCATTAAAACAGGTAAATGATTTCACGATATTGGTATCGCGCATATAATCAATGAGATGAACAGATTGAGCGTCGGATGGGAATGGCTATCAGACATTTCCAACGAGCTGTCCGAGCCTACGGGACCAACGCAAAGCTAGGTTTGAAGAACATACTCTATCTGTTCAAGTCATTTTCCGTTCCTTCGCTCACGTACGGTCATAACCAGTACGTAATAATCGACTGAATATCAATATGGCCGAACAGAAGTAGTCGAAATAGGCTTCCTGAGGAAAATTGCAGAGCTTACGCTTCTGGATTAAGTTCATAGCCTATGCTTTAATCGCATCCTAAGATTGTCACTGGCGGAAGTGGCCAAGCAGTAACCTCTTCTCAGACAGTCAAGGATTCACAATAACTTGAAGCAAAGCACCAACGAGTGTTCTCCATATTCGAAATGCTTCCTACCGCTGAGCATTAGCTCGTTCTCCTGGGCGTCAACTTCAATGTCCCATGTCGCTACTCTTTCCACCGAAAAGGGCAAATAGCATACGAAACTGTCTGGCTGAAGAAACGGCATACAGTAATGCTATTTTGTACAAATGGTTACTTTAAATACGTTAATTGATAATCCATGGTTGACATCGAGGCAATGTATGTATTACAAACATTTGTAATGGCCCACCAGGCGTTCTCAAGAAGTTTGTCCTTTCTTTAACGACGAATGATACGTTATCAGTTCAGCTGTTCTAAAATAAGTCAAGTAGGACAACCCAACAATGTGCAGAAACGGTGGGTAAAGAGGCCAATTGTTAAGATGGTCCGTATCTACAGAACCAGTTAATACCGTTTCCGCGTCTTCCGTAAGAAGTCGTTAAGTTCGTTTCCATAGGAGTTACGGTGGCACTTCTTGTTTGAGTTCCCGGTCTGCAGCTTCCAATAGATTTTACACAGTGCGGTGCTAATTCGATGGATTTTTATCCGCTTAAAGAGGTTGCTCCTACGGACCGCTGCACTTCTATACATCGGAAGTCCAGCTGGCTAGCGCACATGCAGTGACGGGGATGAAATTTGTCACTCAGTGTCCAAGGACCGTTGTGCGGTCGAAATTTCATGTTGTCCCAATTACAGTTCCCTGGTGAATTTATCGATCAGATATGAGTTGCAACGTCTATGAATCAAAACGGATTGAAGTAAAGTAGCTGTAAACGAGGGTTGGTCAACAGACGCCATAGGGCAACGTGTCAAAATATTTTCCAGCATAAAGTTTCATATTGCTGGAGGAAGACGAGAAAATCAATCATATGCACCTTGGCTTGATCCACTTATGTTAAGCAAAATACGCCCTTATGTCTCCCTCTGTTTGAAACGTAGCATTTGTGACACTTTACGAGTTCTGTTAAAGTTTAGACCCATATGCGTGCAAGAACAATGTTGTAGTGCATCATGTTTTAAGATTTAAACAGTTTAGAAGCTGATATGGTTCATCTCGTAGCTGCTGTAGGACGATGGAATAGGATTTTGCGAGGCAGTAGTTTCAAAGTGACGATTTTACTACCTGTTTCTTGTCCTACCTTTAACCATAGATGTCGAAGAAGATTTCTGTGCAAAAACCAGATCACGAGAAAGGATTTGCACGAACTTCCAAAGATACTCACGTATAAAATCATTGCCGGTAACTATGAAATAAAATATGCACACTCATAATACTCATTACCTGCGCGTTAACATTTGACCCTCGTTGCCAGTAATTTGCTATACGTATCGCAAAAAAATATCAAGACATATATGTAGCATGTAAACATGAATCCCGACGTATAACAGTATCTCTGCTAGATGAGATC